ATTGTGGCGGAGAATGTTGAAGTTAGAGTGATCGTCAGGCTGTATGAGAACGGTACGAAGGCTCTCCGAGGAAGTTTCAAAAATAATATTGGAGAATTGTAAATTTTGCAAGCATTCAACCGCCCAAAAGAGAGCCCACAAGTCAGCCTCTGTTTTCGAACGCATATAGGAATATGCTCGGCGACTATGCATAATTGTACAACCATTTTCATCACGTAAAATCCATGAAGCACCACTAAGGTGACTTGAATTTACCCATGAGGATCCAACATTACATTTGAGGAAGCCAGCAATCGGTTTTTTCCATGTATTCATACACGTGTTCACTGTATCCAAACCATCTCTCGATCCTGTGAAGGTATCAAACCACGTTGATTCTTCTTCATAGGCCTTCTTAGCAATAAACGAAGACTCGAGAACCTTGGTTTCAAATACAAAAGCATTCCTAGCTTTCCAAATCTCCCATAACAACCATGGGAAAACTTTACTAGTGTGTATATCCGTACCTGAGCTCCTCGACATCCTGATCAGGTGCACAAAGTTGAAAAAAATTGAAGTCCGAGAAAAACCTCCTAAGGGTAGTGGAAAATTAGACTGTGCCCAAGTGGCACGTGCTTTATCACAAGTAAAAAGAACATGGCAGATAGTTTCATCACCAAGACCACAAACTGGACATGTTGGATCAATTGGGATACCCCGTGTAGTCAAACGTTGCTTGACAGCTAACGCACCAGATAAAGCCCGCCACATAAAGTGTTTAATCTTTGGTGGAGCTTTGATTTTCCACAGGTCATGCCACAATTGTTTTTCATTAGGAGTGATAGAGTTTCCATTAGGGTGCTCAAAACCCACCAATGCCTCCAACAACTTATACCCACTACGAGTGGAATATACCCCATTTGGTGTAAATCCCCATTTGATCGAATCCTCAATTACCAATGATGGTTTTAGAAGTAAAATTCTTTGAACATCCTGTGGTGTAAAGGTCTGATGCAGTAGATTAATATCCCATTGGTTTGACCCCTGCATGAATAAGTCTGAAACTTTTAGAGCTAGATTTATTGGGCTACCCTCACGATACATTGGAGGACGGGGAATAGTATCAATAATCCAGTTTTCAGCCCATACATTAGAATTAGCCCCATCGCCAATATGGCGATATAGTCCCTTTTTGAGCAATTCCCTACCGTGCATGATACTTCTCCATGCATATGATGGGCGTGTCCCCATTCCACACTCAAGAAAATTACCATTTTTGAAATATTTGCCTTTTAAAATTCTAGAAACTAAAGATTCAGGATTATGCCAAATTCGCCAAGCTTGTTTCCCGAGCAAAGCTTGATTGAAACGACCAATGTCATGAAACCCAAGACCCCCCTGTTCCTTGGGTTTACATAATTTTTCCCACGAAACCCATGAGATCTTTCTCTTTCTATCCCCACTACTCCACCAAAATTCAATAATCGCACTCGTAATTCTTTCGCAAAGACCTTTTGGTAACCGAAAAACTGACATTGCATATATTGGAAGAGCTAAAGCAACCGATTTTATTAACACTTCCTTGGCACCCATCGAAAGAGTCTTAGAATACCACCCTTGTAACCGTCCTTCGAGTTTTTCTTTAATAAAATTTAAGAGATCTTTTTTCGAACCTTGAAAACACTCAGGGAGGCCAAGATATGAACCCTCTCCACCTTCCTTTTCTATACCCAAAACCTCTTTTATAGCATTTTTAGTCCCATCAGCAATGTTTTTCCCAAAAATGATAGAAGACTTTAAAGGGTTTATCATTTGGCCAGACGCATCTCCATAAAGGGTTTAACTTAGATTGTTACATAAATAGTTCATCTATATTATTAAGGGCAATTCTCTTAAATAGCCATCTTTTAAGTTTTTATCACAAAATAGACCTCAAAAGTTAAAATGACCAAAATAGCACTTTTTATTTTGAAAATTTTAAGTTTTTCTTTTTTTATTTTTTTTTAATTTGAAACCCTATTCCCAAAACCCTACTCCTCAACTCTAAACAAAAAAGTTTAGGATTAGTTTACCCAAAGGGTAAAAATGTATATTTAATAAAACATTTAAGTGCTATTTTGGTCATTTTAATTGTTAAGGTCTATATTTGTGACAAAATCTTTTTAGGTCTATTCTAGTAATTTTCTCTATTATTAATGTGCATTAATGTTAATAGTTTTGAAGATGACGTTGTTCAAAACAATATAGCTATGCAATATATAAAGAGAAAATGACTAGAATAGACCTAAATTTTTTTTATCACAAATATAGACCTTAACAATTAAAGTGACCAAAATAGCACTTAAATGTTTGATTAAATATACATTTATACCATTGGGTTAACTAATCTTAGATTTTTTTTTTAGAGTTTAGGAGTGGGGTTTTGGGGATAGGGTTTCGAATTTAAAAAATTAAGAAAACTTAAATTTTCAAAATAAAAAGTGCTACTTTAGTCATTTTAATTTTTGAGGTATATTTTTGTGATAAAAACTTAAAAGATGGCTATTTTAGAGAATTTCCCATATATAAATTTAATTTAGGAAATATTTTACTGATTTTAGAAAAGATATGGAATGCATACAGTTAGGAGTAATTGTTATTTTATTAATTTTGGAAAAGACAAAATATCTATAAATATAGCTTCATTTAAAACATCAATGGCATGGTAATGTATATATAGTGAAAATCAAAAGGATAATCTAAATTTGTACTACAGTTTTAATAGATTAGACTAGATCTTGATTCGCACAACCGTGCGGGTCTTCGTTATATTGATAATTTATAAAAAGGTATCAATAAATAATAATATATTTATTTATAAAATTTCGTAAAATACTAAAGTGATAGATGCTAAAGAATTATTTTTACACACAACATGAAAATATAAATTATCATTAACAAATATTTATCTATAGTATATCTAAATAAATGTTAAAATGTATTGTATGCAAATTACAGAAACTAAAAATCTATATTAAAAAAGATTATATATTTGATTATTTCAGATTATAATTTATGTATCAAACTTAAAAATATACTAATAAGTAATAAAAATCAATTTAAAATATATAAAGAATTACTATATATTAATAATGATGAATAAGAACTTAACAACAAAATTGTAGAGTTATATAATATATAACATTAAATATAAATCATATATTTAATTTTTTATAATACTATCAAAGTAATGAAAATTCTTTGTGCGTCAAACTCTAGTATATAGTTTTTTTTTATTTAGGTTTTCGGAATATATAGTTCTATCTAAATAAATGTTAATTTCTTAAACAAAAGCAATTGTATTCAAATAAAAGATAAAGATATGGGGTGATATTATAATTAAATTATGTTAAATTAGTTAATTGTTTTCAAAAATGGTCCAAATAAAAAAAATTATACATGAAATAAGTCATGACTTCGTGTTAATAGTATAGATAGATAAATATATAGTATATTATTTTGTATATTTGAAATAGAATTTCAGTATTTGTTTCTAACATAATATATTTAAATTTTGTAAATAAGTATTTTAGAAACTCCATCAACTTATATTATTATTCTCATTAAATATAAATAGAAATATTTTAGCTAATTTTAATTTTCATTTATAAATAAAATAATAAATTTTAAAGATATTTCATGATAGTTAGAATTTAAATTCAATTATTTACGAAAATAAAATTTTCCCCTACAATGTAGAAAAATGCCAACAATATTTTGTTGGATTTATTTCTTTTGTATTTCAAATAAAAGATAAAGATATTTAAAGATATTATGATTAACTTATGTAACATTTGATAGTCTTGATAATCTTTCTAAGGAAGAGTCTATTTTTAAAAAGTCACACATGAATTCAAGGTTGTGACTTCGGTTTTAATATATAAGATTTTTCCGCTAGATCTTCTTGTTATCAGTCTCAGTCACATTCTTTATTAGATCATATGATACTTTTTTTAGTGTATGTATCTGAATATGTACGTCAAGCATGCACAGATCTTTGGATCTTTGGATCCCAACTATACCTGCCAAGTCAGTTAGGCCAGTTGCCCCTGTGGTTCATCTGATGATGCCAGTAAGCCAACTCATAAGTGGAAACTCAAAGCAATGGAATTCAGAATTACTGGATAACTATGTCAGTCCAGATGATATCCTACTCATCCGATCTTTGGCCATAAGTCAGAGACATCAGAAAAATGAATTTTGTTGGAGTTATACGAAGAGTGGATGATACACGGTCAAATCTGACTACTAGGTAGCAACTAACATTTTGAACAGGGAAATAGAAACACAGTCGGAACCAAGTATTGTCAAACTACAAACTCATGCTTGGAAGATTAAAACTCCACCAAAAATCAAACACCTAATATGGCAAACTATATCAAGACAACTAGCAGCAACAAATAGTTTAACACATCGTCATATGCGGTGTGATAATCATTGTTCTAGATGCGGGGGCTGCAAATGAGACGATCAATCATGCTATATTTGAATACCTGCCAACATTATAAACTTGGGTGATTGCTAGTGATCGTTTAATATAGTTAAAAACTATTTAACATTTAATGCTTCTTTGGTTTAAAAAATGAATGAACATCAGAATATTAAAAACAAAACAGGCAGGGCTAATATCTTTGTGTGTTTTCCTAATGACTCTAAGAAATTCTCGTGTTGAGCCACTTACAGATTGTCTCTTCGAAGCTCTGGTTTCCCGTGATACATATGGAAGTGAGCCCCTTCCACATTTATTTTTTTCCGATTCTGATCCAGATGTTTTTAATTGATGTACTCAGGCCCGGCCCGTGGCACAAGCAGGGTAATCAATGGTTAAGAAATTTTTTTCACCATGCTCATTTTTAGTGATTCTAATATTGAATGTTTTATTGAACACCTTGAATGTAAATGGTTCAACAAGTAAAAGAAGCCCAAAAGGATCTTGTGCACTAAGAAATATGCATTCACAATTTTAGGTATTTCCATTTTTTTCAGAGGAAATAACTGAGCTGTTCCTTTTTCTTTGAGCCTCCTTCTCCATACAAATCATTCCATTGCTTCAGCTCATCCATTCCAAATCCTTCTGATGCAAAACTCGCTGCTACCTGCAAAACACACAGCATATTAGTTAGGGTTTCTTGCTTCCTTGACTTTTCTTGTTAAATTGACACAAAATGTTTGACCTGGTTTCTAGCTTTTCTCATGTCTTCCATGTTCAAAGGTCTCAAAACAATATCTCTCTCCTCAGAAGATTTTTCTACTTCTTTGCCTTTGCCTGCTTCTTCTCTTTTCTTCTTCTCCTCAGAAGCTTCTTCTACTTCTTTTGGTTCTTCCTTGCCTTTTCCAGCTTCTTCTCTTTTCTTCTTCTCCTAAAACCACAGAAACAAATCAGAATGTGCTGAGAGTTCGATCAGTATAGAGGGCAGGAGAGTGTCTTTTACTCCTTTTACCTGATCTTTCAATATCTCTTGCTGAATCAGTTCTCTAACCGGTCTATACGCAGCTGTGATGCACAAGTTCTGTTGCACAAATGTTAAACAACCAGTCAGTTTCCAGGATTTGACACAAGATTTTTGAGCTAAAGATATGATATAAACCTTAAGATCACTTCCACTGTAGCCTTCTGTCATCAGTCCAATCTCATGAAAATCAAGATCATCCGTTTTTTCTTTCGACAACAAAGTTCTCAAGATCTTCTCTCTGCTCTCAATGGAAGGAAGTCCGACCATTATCCTGTAAATTAATTTCCAACACAATTAGTACTTAAGAATTATTTTGCATGCATTTTACAAAATGTTGCTATAAAATAGTACAGTACCTGCGCTCAAACCTCCTAATGATAGCATCGTCAAGATCAAAGGGTCTGTTTGAAGCTGCAAGAACCAGAACCCTTGCACCTGGTTCAGTCATTAATCCATCCCAATGCAACATAAACTCATTCTTGATCTTCCTCGCGGATTCCGACTCTCTAGCTCTTGTCCTTTGTCCCAACATACTATCCACTTCATCCACAAATATAATCGTTGGAGATATTTTAGCTGCTAAAGTAAACAAAGCTCTCACGTTCTTCTCGTCTTCTCCAAAATATTTTGAAGTGATTGTAGACATGGAGACATTGATGAAACTAGCTCCTGCTTCATTTGCAATTGCCTTTGCAAGCATTGTCTTGCCAGTACCTGGCGGTCCGAAGAGTAAGATTCCTCTACATGGCTTGAGAAGACTGCCTTTGAAGAGATCAGGTCTTCTAAGTGGAAGCATCACAAGTTCTTGAAGCAACTCTTTTGTTTCGTCCAAAGAACCAATATCTGCAAATGTTACACCAATCTCATTTGCTGGTATGACCTCTGATCGTATACGCGTCTCATACTCATTATCATTGTTTGTGTCAAGCTTCTCTTCAGATGATTTGGTTCCACCTTCTTGGAATATACTCAAACCATGAGACAAGCTGAATAGTGTAAGATCATGTAATCATCAGTTTAACCATCTGAAACAACCTATTAAATTAAATAAACAAAACTGATTTGAGATAGAGCCTACCTTTTGGAAGATATAACAAGCTTCCCGTTTCTGTACTCCGGTTCTTTTGTGTGTGCCATATGATAAATGATTGCAGAAACCACAACCTCTTCAATGTGGTTCCTCAAACACATTGTATCCGCATGACATATTGAAGCTAAGTCATCGCATTGGATGTCGTTTGCAGCAAGAACATCCGCGATGTGGTTCTTGTTGTCTTGAAACATATTCATCTTCATGTCATCTTCTAAACGACCTTTCCAGCTCAAGAGCTGAGATTCATCCTCTGGTGGTCTTATTGCGATGTTGTAAGGAAAGAGAGCCGATGTTCCTTCGCTTACTTTTTGGTAATCATATTCGGATTCTAATACTCTTGAGCCAAGAATCAAGACAGGACCAGAGAGATTGTTCAACAACCTCTGGAACAACTTGTAGAATCTTTCTGACTCAAGAAGCTTCTCAACATCCCTGAGGTATATTATTAGCGGATTTTTGTCTGATACAGAGACCAACACCTGCAGAGAACGATAACAATTGTGAAAAAAAAACCCCATTGAAACAATTTAAAAAACGTTTGTCTTCTTTTACCTTGTAAAGTGATTGCAAGAAAAGTTTCTCGTCGAAGCATAGATTTGTGCTGCCTTTGCTGGAAGCTAGAATCCCTTAAAAAGGACATATATGGAGCAAAGAGACGTAAGAATCTGAAGCTGGATATTATGTATCAAGAAGATGTAATTAAAAAAAAAAAACAAAGTAGGATTCTTTGTTGGTACATACCTCTTGGATCAACTTTGCTTTGAGAGAGCATAGAAAAGGAACCCATCAAACTCGACATTTTATTGAACGTTAGCTCAGAAATAGACCTCTTGTGAAACTATAAATCAATGAAGAGATAAAAATAGAGTCAACGCTCTAAATTCTGAAATCATCAGCTAACAAAGCATGATAGAAGCAACTTACAGGTTCCTTCATAGTGCATCCATATTTACTTTGTATCTGTTTCAAAAGAATACAATAGACAAAGCTTAGGAGTCAAGATATGTTTCTTATTTGAAATATTAAAGTAGCTAGATGCATTTAGTGATTTACCTTGATAGAGAAATCCTTTAAATCTAACAGCAATAGCTTTGATTTAAAGCTATGTGACAAAGCTTTTGCAAGCATTTGCTGATAGAACTCTGCACGACCGGAAAGTAGAATGGCTTTACTTGCAGGTGCAAAATTCCGAGTGTGCTTTGAGATATCAGACCCTTTTAGACGAAGATAAACTGCACTTGTCAATAACACTCGAGTTCTCTCGCTGCCATTTAACAATAAACAATTTTGAATGAGTTTACAAATGCCTACATCTTATTGTAAAGAACATGAAAGTAGAAATTCATAATCTGCCAAGTAAATGATTCGGAATCAAAATTTCAATTTTCTTTTACAATTTAGAATGTAAACTCTCACATTATTCATCTTAGTATTTACATACTTGGGTCAACAGTATGGTGAAGTGAAACTAAAAATAGTGTCAGCCTTATAAAATTTTAATGATAATAATGAACGGAATTAACTATATTAGTAGAATCACGCAAGGATCTTTCTATTTCACTGTCTGCCTCCATTTTTATAAATAAAAAATAAATACATACTCCCTCCGTTTTCATATAATTGACGTTTTAGAATCTCTACTCTGTTTCAATAAATTTGACGTTTACAAAAAAAAAAAAATATATGCAAAAGATAATGACCAATGACTTTATATACCCTTGTGTTATTAACAAATTCAAGTTTCAAAGTGGAATTACGAGAGAAAATGGTCAACCGATAAAGGGTAAATATGATATTGTATTAGATGTCTTAATCTGTGTGCAAACTATATAACGAAATATAAAAGAAAACAGAGGGAGTATTAAAAATGCAAACGTAAATATTATAATTCATACATATATATATATATATATACTTTGTTTTTCTCTTAAAATGAAATTAATTAAAGAACTTTTTACGAAACAGTTAAAATAAGTATACATAATATTTCTATTTTACATAATATTATTGTATTAGAAAAATTTTAACTTTAATTTTAACATATTTAAGTATTTTGGATTCGATCTGAAAACAAGATATTTGGAGTGTGTAGATCCATATACCTTGATTTTTAGGTTCGTAGATTCAGATCTGTATATTTAAATATGTTAAATTTTTAGTTGTATTAATAATTATATTTGATATAATATATTTTATTTATAAATATTATAGTATTCTTAATTTTTTTTATTATTTTAGAATTTTAGTATATTTAAAAAATAAATTTTATTTTAATTATTTTTAGGGTGGATCTGAATACCTACAGTCACATATAATATAATATCTAGACGTAAGGGGATGATTGGTTGGACCTCTAAATGCTCTGGACAGTCAAAATTTAGTTAAGAAAAATATATTTCAACCAGTCAAAAAATTTTTTTCTTTAAAAAACCTACAACCAAAATATGTCAAGAAATTTTAAAGTAGCTGTACAGAGCTTTATTTCTAGAACAAAAAAATAAGTGATTTACAAAACTACAACAAAAAAAACTATAACAAATAAATCTAGTTTAATTTCTACGACCAAAAATATAAAACTACACTTCATTCCAAATCATCCCCGTATATTTGCAATCTGAATATCTAAAAATCACAGATATGGATTCGAATACTAAATCCATAAATTCAACAGATATGGATTTGAATTCGGATACCCTAAATTTTTTGGATATCCAGAATTTTAAACACTATTAATTGGTGAAGAGCCAAAAAATATATATGTTGGAGAGCCAAAAAAAACTCTAGAATTTTTAGAATTTAAGAGCCTCTCGGAGATTGTCAAAGAAAACAGTGAAATTTGGATTTGGGCTAAAGAAAGCCACTTAGTGACAAAAACTGTATCATAATCACTTATAAATCTTAAACACACAGAATAAAAAGATGATGTTTTAAGTCACCTTAAGAAGTACGGAAACTCATCGAAGGTGACACTACTCTCTCTCCCATCCAAAATTTGTAACACCAACTCTTGTTCAATCTGTTCTCCGGTGAGTCCGTCTTCTACTGAACCCGACCCGTTTGCCCATCTACCCAAACTCGTACTAGATGCCAACCCAATCCCTAGTCCAACACCAACACCTAAAGCTGACAACAATACGCTCTTCTGCTCCATTTATTTTTTCACTGATACAGAAAAAATCCTCGTTGGCCACACGATCCTTGCTTTCTCAAATGAAGAGTTATTTTTTGGTTGAGTTTTGTAGAACTGCCAAATCCTGATTAAAAATTAAGAAACAAAATATAAAGTATAAAAACTTTATGAAATCATAAGAAAATAGATTAATTTACCGAGTCGAGATTTGATATATTTCCTTAACTCAATAAATCACCTTGTAATCTACAATAATTTTGTGCAATTTTTAAATCTTAGGATATAAATGTGATGAAACTGCATTAGAAGACTCGAAACAGAATTTATGAATTTTACTATTACAACATATTCTCGAAATACTTACTTTAAAATAAGAAGATTTAAAGAGTTTTGTTTTTAAAATCTTGTTTTGTGTGTATTGTGAGATGTGATTTTCTGAAGAGATTATGTATTTATTTATAGTTGAGATTAGTTTGGTTAAGTTGGCTTAGATTGTTCATCAAGTTAGTTTTCTTAGTCCATAAGTTTGCCACCAAGTTTTCCCTTTTAAAGTTTAAGCATTTTTACATTAAAATAATTAAGAAATTATATTACTCAGCAATTTGGACTTGCAAAATAATATCCAATAATTTCCATAATTATTCACATAGAGTCAATTTTTTATTCAGTCATTTGGGATTATAAAAGATGTATATTCCCACATTCAATTTTCTAGTCAACTCATTAGACTTAAAATATTTTTTTTTTGTCAGAATTAGACTTATAATAATTGGTACCAACAATCATCCCTATATAAACAGAAGTTACTCGTAACACATGAAGACAATAAATTATGCAGATTCAAGAGACTTTAGTGACTAAACTTATCATTAGAGAATATAAGCAAACAACTAACTGTGTATGAGGTAGTAGCATATTTCAGCCTTAAACTACTCATTGTTAATACCTATCAAATTTACTTCTCATGATGTGAATGTGATGTCTTGAACTACCTAGAGTTTATGTAAACCATGACAACATATATAACCCAGCTGCATTTTCTCTTAAAGTTAAGTTCTCTATTGTATTTATTTTGGCTGTGAATTTATCTGGTTTATCATGAGAGAATTTGGAAAGTATACGCTAAATTTCATCCTCCTAAAAATTACCGGCTGTCACATTCACTAGGTGATGGCCACGAACACCTATCATATATAAAAAAGTATCCTATTATACTATATATACACATATATATATATAGGTTTATGATCTTATCTCATTAAAATTCATTGTTTTACCTTAAATACTTACATGAAGTACTGCTGAACCTCGTGGAAACTTAATGAGTTTCAGTGCTTTAATCAGATTCTGCTTGATATAATTTTCCTTTGAACCAATATCTTGGGATATCTGATCTCATTGGCGGGCGTTCAATCAGGAAACAGATTCATGGAGTTACGACTGTGGACCGCCAAAATTATGATTGGAAATCACTAAAAAAAATCGAGTTGGAAATGCTAATATAAGGTGTAAAAACGTTTATGAAATTGTAAGGAAATAGACGAATTCACGGAGTCGATTGGTCTTTTTCTTAACTCAATAAATTGTCCGTAATGTGTAACGGTTCTGAGTATTTTTTTTATCACATGATACAACCGTGATAAAAGTATTTTGCAACATCCAAAATAGAATCTACGAATTTTACTAATATGATATACTCTCGATACACTTATATTTCAAAAAGAAGATATAAAGAGTTTTGCTTGTGAGAATCTTGGTTTTGCGTGTTGTCAGATGTGATTTTATGATGAGATTATATCTCTATTCATAGTGCAGATTAGTTTGGTCATCAAATTTTCTCTTTAAAAGTTGAAGCTTTTAACAATATTAACAGCTTTCCCAAAACTGGTTAACAACTTCTGATTCTCTCCCGGGCACATTCCCCTCGACAGTTTCCAACTATCTGGTTTTTTCTCTTTGGTCAACTCCTCACGGTTTCCATCTACGTGGTTTATCCTCTTTTCCTGGTTTACAACCTTTTTTTAGTAAAGTTTTTCAAAATTAAAACAGCTTGGCACTTTCTCCCCGGGTTCAACCCCCGACTCCCTGTCGATGGGTCAGCGACGCCGTCGCCTAGCCTATGGAATGACCGTACTCCTCCTCTCCACAAGAACCACTGTTGTCTGTCTCTATGAAGCATTCACAGGAGCACAAAAACCCTTGTAATGCTCTTCAGGGAGGTTGAAGTTACTGTCTCTCTGTGCTCTGTTATAGAGTCCTTGGTATCTTTCTTTGCAACTCTACCTTGGTAAACTAGTCTTAACCTGTATCAGCTGCTCAGACCTGCTTCCCTCTAGCTACATATACTCTCCTTGGGTTCTAATAACCCCTGCTTGAACTTAGCTATTCCATTATCTCACTCGTAACTTCAATGGCCCGTCAACTCTCGCGCTCCGAGAAAGAGAAGTGGACTGAAGCCCCCACGCTCTCCAAGAAAGCGCTCTCTTATCAGGATCCCTGAGAGCAACAATGATGCCCTCATCACCAACAACAAGCTTACTCTTATTGGCCACATTACAAAACCTCTCTTCCAGCGCACTCGAGTTGTTGTTGAACGTATGCCTCAAGTATGGAACCTCGAGGGTCGAGTGGAAGGCAGGGACCTAGGACCGGAATTGTTTCAGTTCAGATTTGAATCTGAAAGTGACATACTTTAGGTTCTTGCTAAAGGGCCTTACCGCCACAAAAAAAAAATGGATGTTGTTGCTGCTGCAGCGATGGTAACCGGTGATCTCACTAAACTTCCCGTCCATGATCTCATTTTGGATCTGTATCCATGGGATCCCTCTTCATCACTGGATTGGCCAGGCCATCTATACAATTGGGAAAGCCCTTGGAAATGCTTCTACTCAAGATTTGAAAGACGCTCACATCAGAGTCGAGTTAAACAGCCTTCTCCCACTGGAAATGAAGTCTGAAATCCAACTTCCTTCTGGAGAGGTCATCGAGGTTGAGTTTGAATACATAAAAATGGAAAAGCACTGCTTTACTTGCTTCTCTCTTTCCAATGAGGAAGAAGATTTTCCAGCACGAAACCCGAATGATCCTCCCGCCAGAAATAGAAAGCTTGGAATTACACAATAACTTGCTCTTGAACGGATTGACGCGGAGAAGAGGCGCCATGATGAACGATGTGGCTACAAAGCCTCTGAGCCTCGTCCTAGGATGGAAGTTACATCCCATAACAATCACGTTTTCCACTTCTCTGCCTCTAGAGATTCTCGTGATACCAGCCACAGAAGTACGACTGGGCACAAAAGGGACTTCGAAAGATCACGATCAAATGCGGGCCACCTAGCCTCGTACCATTATAAACCGGTGCATAGAAGGGAGAGGAGTCAGAGAACTAATTCTTTGCTCTCTTGGTCCTACTCCTCTCAACACTACGTGCCCATAGCTCCACCTCAGCGAGACCACGGTGATTACCGTCCTAATCCTTCTACTGGTAGCTCTAGCAAAATGGTTCCCAACCCCATCGAAACTCAGTACCAATACCCTGAACCTACTAGGGAAATCACAACCCACACCGCCCCTTTTGGAGCAACTTCAGAATCTATGAGATCAAAAGATAGACGCTCAGCCTTGGATCGTATAGCAGAACCTGACCTGAGGGACCAACTACAGCGCCACGGTACGTCTAGTGCCAGCTCTGGCAGACTTCAGGATGTTAAAATTAGGTATGATGGCGACCTCCCTAAAGGTACAACCCTGGGGGGCAGCAGTTTACTTAATGGATCTCCCCGGCAATGGAGGCTACCGAACAAAACTTGGATAGAGGCCCTGCTTCTCAACGACTAGGTGGTCTCTCTACTTTGGTAGTCGAGCGAGAACTAGAGCTACACTTGGGAGTTCAGAACCAACTTCTAGTGTTGTGGCGCCTACTACAAGCAAGAAAAAACCCGTACGTAAGGCCACTACCACTAGAAAGCGAGTAGTTTGTAGTAGTCCTCTACAGGCGCTGAAGATGAAGAAAGTGACTGCTCGAAAGGCGACATCACAATGCAAAAGACGTTGTACGGAAAAGAATACTTTTTGGCCTTGTGATAAGGCTCGTACTAGCAATAGACTGACATGAACAAAAAGTAATAGCAACAACTATGGGGCATTGCCGACTAGGAGGAACTAGGGGGCGGGTTTTCGCTCCTCTCCTCCCTCTCTTTCTTAGCGTTAATGAGTTGGAATTTTCAAGGGTTTGAGAACCCCTTTACAGTTCAAAGAATCAAGGATACCTACAAAAACATTTCTCCAGATATCATGTTCCTCATGGAGACAAGAAATAACGATGTGTTCATCAAGTCGAAGCTCGACAATCTCCATTACTCCCATTACTTGTCCATTTCATCCGGAGGCACTGGTGAGGGAGGGGGAGGGGGGTTTGCATTAATTTGGATGGACAACATCAAGCTTGAGATACTAGAGTCATCCCCCAGTATCATCGATGCCAAGGTATCGTTTAAGGAGTCTTATTCCTTTATCTCCTTTGTACCTGTGGTCGAGAATAAAGCTGCCCACTGGGAAAATGTCTCTCGTATAGGAGAATGGAGAGAGAAACCATGGCTTCTCACAGGTGACTTTACTGAAATTCTTAACAACTTGGAGAAAGAGAGAGGTCCGTAACAGTGGGAAGGATCATTCACAAATTTCAGGACCTTCGTCTCACAAAACGAATTGTGAGATCTAAACCACTCAGGCAATCACCTCTCTTGGCGAGGCACGCGCTACACACATCTTATCCGATACGGATGGACCAATCTATGGCCAACTGCGCATGGTCTGAGAAATTTCATATGGGTCACTGCAAATATTTTCGCTTTGAGGGGTGGGATCAACGTCCCCTTATCACCTACTTTAACTCAACAATAGCAAAGAAGAAGGGTTTGTTTCGGTTCATCCGGTTCTTGACGGAAAACGATGAGGTGATGAAACTGGTGGGATCAGCCTGGAATCACTCCCCCCTAGCGTCTGTCATCTCTAAACTTAAC